TGTTACAATGTTCAAACTGCAGGCTCAGAGGCGGCAGCACAGGCGGGGAACGTTGGTTTCCTCCTTCACTGAAGGAAGCAAGCCTCATGTTAGTTTCAAGCTGCCTGGCTGCTGGCCGCGATCTTGGCTGTCAGTTAATTTGCATATCTCCCTGATTAGCCAATGGGAAGGGTAGCGGTCGTACGCCAATTACCATGTTTCTCTTTTATTAGTGTAGATAAAAAAATCAACTTCATTAATATCACCACAAATCTCATCAGAAACATCCTTAAGTACCAGAAAGCTGTCAAGCTCAGTATAACCGAAGTTTTCAAAAATTTATATTTTAGCTCAAAATCGTGAATTTTATCATTATGGCAAAGACGCTGTCAGCTGCTCTCCTTGATGCTTCATGCTCCTTTGCTCACTCTGTAGTTTGCTGTCTAGTGAGTCTTTCAAGCAAAAACTGTCCCATGAAAAACAAACCACACACAGGCGCTTTTTCTGGGGAGTCGCCACATCTGGCACGAAGCTGAGTGCTTTATGTGAACCTCTTATTCTGTCACCCAGAATATTAAAGATGTGTACTCAAAGGTCCAGATTTAATAAAACTAATCATTTTTAACGTTTTATCGAGGACATTCTTACATAAAAGTAGCATTTCAACTGTAAGTGTGTGGAGTGAGGAATACAGTGGGTTCTGAGGCCACTGCTCTGACCTGTGCTCAGGCTCCAGCAATTTCACTCACCATGTTCCTGCACCATCAGTAAAAATGTCAGCCCAGTGCAAAGGGCTCTCAGACCCCCAGAGGTTCACGATTGCACCGAGAATTGCTGCCCTAAAACTGTCACTGTCAATTGTGACAATCTCTTGAAATACCAACTGCACTCTTTTTCAGAAAGACAGACAATCTCTCGGCTTTAAACATCAAGAACTAGGCAACTAATTAAGAACAACTAAACAACGTGATGCACATTTTAGTAATAGGACCAATTTCCGTACCTGACACTGAGAGGGGACTCCACGGAGAGCCCCAGGAGGGCACAGGCATCCCGCGTAAAGATGTCACAGATGTCAGCCCACTGATTCGCATCAAGCAGGTGGACATATGGTGAGTTCTCAATTCCTTGTCTCAGGTACACGAGGCTGCCCATCAAAACCTGAATGTCTAAACAAAAAGCAGCAGCTATTTAGAGGTGAATGATTACATCTGAAATAGAGCTGGCTTGCAGGTAATAGGCTGAGAAAGGCAAGAATCGCCCCAACTGACACAGCCTAAAATCCTTCATTCACAATGTCTTTTAAAATTCTTGTCTTTAAGCTGGGTTTCTCCCTTCACCTTAAAGAAATAGCATAGAGAAAGGGAGAAAAAAAAGAAAGCACTAAATGCTGAACTTGCAGTTATTTTACTATTATAATTAGCACAGTATAATTACCATTATCTTGAGGAGTGATAACTATGCTATAAAAGGAGCCATTACGTATATTTGACTATCCAGTTCTCCAACACTGGCACTTGGGGTTAACTGCTGCCACCTGGTGTACCCTGAAACACTTTGTTGTGGCACTAACAGTAGCATGGGGGGTGCAAGTGCATACTTAACTCTTTCTCATGTCTCCTTTCAGTTTACTATGAAATCACCAAAAATGCAAGGTCTATGACTTTTCATTTATGAATCTTCAATATTTTATTTCTGTTCTAGAGCCCGTCACAGCTTTGTCTGTAAGTGATTATCAACTATAACTGTTTTCATTTATTAGCAAATATGTATTGATCTAGTTAAGATAAGCTTCAATTCCATTGGTGACTTTAGGCCTGTTGTAAACATTGATAACATGTGACTCCAGACTCACCTTTTTGATGATTTAGGGCAAATGGCTGAAAATTTTTAGCATATTGCAATGCCTCTCGCTGATTTGTAGTTCCACCCATTAACAAGCTAATAAAATACAGTCTATGTAGCTTAAATTCCAAGGAGCTGTTTTGGGCTATAAGCATTTCTCGATTTGATACTGCCCACCTAAAGAAAAAGCAAAAAAGATTTTAACAATAATTAAGAGCCTAGGAAAAGTGTGCTAAAAATTGTTTGAAACCTAGTAACATGGAAAAAAAAAGTGTTTGGTCTGCCATCTTGTGGAAGTTGCTGGTAACATCAATCCCTAGGTCCAGAGACTTGTTTAAAAAAAAAAAAAAGTAAAATATAACAATTACAATAAAGAGGCTTTTCAACCACTGAAAAAAAGAAAAAATGTTGTTAGGTGACAATTACATATTTAGTATAGTTTTACACTAAGGCAAGATCAACTCTGAAGAGTGACATAATAGATTTGTAATCGTGCAAGGCCATACTTTGAAGCAGGTGGCAGCCATGAGATTCACTATCCCATTGCCTAGATCAGCCGTGGGCAAACTATGGCCCGAGGGCCCGGCCCGTTTGAAATGAATAAAACTAAAAAAAAAAAAGACCGTACCCTTTTATGTAATGATGTTTACTTTGAATTTATATTAGTTCACACAAACACTCCATCCATGCTTTTGTTCCGGCCCTCCGGTCCAGTTTAAGAACCCATTGTGGCCCTCGAGTCAAAAAGTTTGCCCACCCCTGGCCTAGATCCACTACTCTTTTCCTGTTAAACTAGCATGTTTATAAATGAATCACAAGATTTGGAAAGAGAAGCATCTATCTTTAAACTTTTGTTAGGAGCAAGATTTTGTGCTACTCACTTTGGAATTAAAAACAGAAACATCAGTATACTCTCAAGGTGCTTTCAGTCTAATCAGGCAGACAGAGCCACATACACATCATATAGTATATTATATTGTGCCAAAACAATTTGTACAAACGTAGCGCTAACGAGAAAAAAAATTTTGAATGATCCAAGCTACAGTGAATCGGGCCTCTATAGTACAAACAGTTGCAATAACCAATCTTGAGCTGGAACTACCAGTTCAGGTGAACACTAAAGCAAAGTATATCAGCCAGCAGTTAAATTCAATTTTGCAATCAAGTGATAAGAGCACTACTTTGGTTCTTTGAACATAAGACGTACAAGCTGTTAGTATCATATTCTTCTTTAATCTGACCTTTAGTTGGACAAATATTCCCCACCTAACCCAATTCACTAAGGACCACTGGAATCTGAAGTGGGTATGAACATAACTGAGTATCTCTACCACTGTACGAGTAAACGCTTCAAGTTATTCATAATGAATCAGCTGACAGAGATGAGACTTCACAGAGCTGCACTTTCACAGGATCCCACCCTTCCCAAAAAGGGCTGCTGGTGCACACAAATACTCATCAATTTGCTGATCACCCACACCTTAGAGTCCAATCATGAAGCTTTTCTAACATCAACATCTAAGTATTTTTAAAAATATTAATTACCTGGACCTTGGAAAAATTTACTTAAATTTAAGCAAGCCTTGGATCCTTGCCTGGCACTAAGATGAATGCAGTCAAGTTGCAACACCAAGCCTGATAAATCGTGCTCCCAACAAGGTACTTCCAGCAGCTATCTCTGGCGAACGCCCAACACCAACCATCAGTACCAAAAGTACTGTGCTCCTGGCAGCTCTGACTTCAGATCCAAGAGTGCATTTAAATTAGGTCACTTACTTAAAGCTTATCCTACCCCTTCTCACTCACAAATGCATGAGTATGGTTTCCTATTAACAAGTGAGAGAGGTAGTAAAGTAAGCTTTTTACTTGTTCTGTTTTGATCTGAGGTATATGTGCAAACGTTTCTAGCGCCAAATAAAAACTACACATTTTAATAAATGATGAAAAACCAACAGAAAGAAGGCAAAATCCATACTGGGCAATTCACAAAAGAAGACAATAACCTATTTTGTTTCCATAGGCAAATGTTCATGATATAATGTTAAAGGTGTGATATATAGAAAAAAGTAACTTCCAGTTACCAGAATTGTTAACATGAATGACTCTGGAAAAGTTGGATTTCACGCATTATTTATCAGCCACACAGCACTGGCTATGACGCATCAGAACAGGACATCAACTATTAGAGCAGCACCGAGGGGCTGAAACAACCAACCTTGCGGACACACCAATGAGCAGCAGCTAACAGTACTCCAGGAGACAATGATTTTTGAAATAGTCCATGCTGTCCTATGACTTCTAAGTTTTCTACTGTAAACATATATTACTTTTATACATAAAAAGGTAACACATTTTTAAGTTAATGCAAAAGTAAAACAAAATTTCTTATCCTCTGAATATTACATTAATATCACAAGACAAGGATTTAAATTACTATTGTGAACATCTCTCTCCCTGGCAAAATGTCACTTTCCAACCTAAGGATACCCCCAAATATGTAAGCACACTTAAGCATTAAGGTAAAACCCTTGCCTGATAGGACCTCTGCCTCATACCCCCAGCACTGTACCCAGGCAGCCACATATATATTTTCTTAACCCCCTAATTCCTCTCCCACAATTAGCTGGCCAGATAAGCATAGGTTTTTTTTTTGTTTTTTTTAAATATATTTTATTGATTTTTTACAGAGAGGAAAGAGAGGGATCGAGAGTCAGAAACATCGATGAGAGAGAAACATCGATCAGCTGCCTCCTGCACGCCCCCCCCTGGGGATGTGCCTGCAACCAAGGTACATGCCCTTGACCGGAATTGAACCGGGGACCCTTGAGTCCGCAGGCCGACGCTCTATCCACTGAGCCAAACCGGTTCTGGCAAGCATAGGTTTTGAAATCACTCTGTGTTGCCTCCTAATAAGAAATTTCATATATCTTTATGACCACTTCGTGACTCTACATCTTTTGTGTGTAAGTTCCTGGTGAGGTTGCATTCCTTGACAATCATAACATCCTTTTTTTTTTTTTAATATATATTTTATTGATTTTTTTACAGAGAGGAAAGGAGAGGGGTAGAGAGTTAGAAACATCGATGAGAGAGAAACACCAATCAGCTGCCTCCTGCACACCTCCCAATGGGGATGTGCCCGCAACCAAGGTACATGCCCTTGACCAGAATTGAACCTGGGACCCTTCACTCTGCAGGCCGACGCTCTATCCACTGAGCCAAACCAGCTAGGGCATCTTTGTCCTTCTTAACATGGTATTTAAGAAACCATACAGCCTATAGAATTACACATTTGAATCTACTTAAAAACACAATACACACACTTCCAACTTTACATAAGTTTCTCAGAAATGCAGTTTAGTATGTGTGCCCAATAGTGAGATGTGGCAGGGGCCACCATATTGAACAGCACAGTTCTATACAGACTGGTGGTTTTTAATGAAGTACATAATATAACATTGCCTTATTATTGCTAGTTCCCTACCACAAAACCAAGAGATCTATTATAAACCAAGTTAACAATAGATCTGCATTTTACAAGCACAAACTCCAGAATCTTTCCTCTTAGTTTCCCCCTCCTGGCCTAGTTGAACTCCTCCTTTAAAAAATATGTTTTTAGTGATTTGGGGGGTGGGGGGGGAGTAGCGGAGGGAGAGAGAGAAACATTGATGGGAGAGAAACATCGATGGGCTGACTCCTGCATGCCCCCTACTGGGGATCAAGCCCTCGATCTAGGTATGAGAATAGAATAGCAATCTCTCAGTGCACAGCAACCTTTCAGTACATGGGAGGATGCCCAACAAACCAAGCCATACTGGCCAGGACTCTCTTCCTTTTTATGAAGACTCTCAATTTCTCTACAGTCCTGGCTTGCCCACTCAATTCCTTGGTGAGAATGTATTCAGGTAAGAGATGGCCATGTCTACTCGTCCTCCTGAGGACTACCTACTGTCTTGGGACTTCATGTACATGGAAACTATCCATGGAAACCAGAGTGGCAATGATTAAGCAGCTTCTGGTGTCTTGTTTTCTGTTTTAGTTTTGTTTCCCCTAGGTGCAGTCTTGCTGACTCAGGCTTTTTAAATAGCCACATAGAAGAACCACAGAAGACTCCTCATAGATATACCATTGGAGAAAAGGAATGAAGATTTGAATAAGTGGGATTTCCCCCCCAGAGTTTGAATTTTTGTTTTTGTTGTTGTTTTGTTGGGGTTCTTAATTCTGAAAAGGCAGAAGAGATCCGTAGAGGGATACATGTTTAACTCACTGTGCCCATACGCTAAGTCTGGTGGAGAAAGAGCCACATATTGTTCATGGCCTGTCTAACATAAAACCTTTCTATGGTGTAACTAATAAAATACTTTTTCTCCCTTCTTCTGTGAAAATTCTGGAACTTCTCCCTCTTCTCCCTCCCCTCCTCTCTCAGAACCATTCAGTTATTTTCTGTTCCCTCTTGTCATTCTATGGAGGCACTGCAAAAAGAACTGCCAATTTTAAAGGGCTAGGAGGCCCCGGGCATGCTATGGATATTGAAAAAAAAACAGGTTTCCAAATCTGCAAGGTTGAAAGTCAGATCCTAGACTGTGGAAGTCCACCAATGTAACATTACTCTGAAACACCTTTAGAAAGGCAGCCAACCGGCTTCCCCTAAAGACAAGCACTTTCTTTCAAAATGCTGACACCAGCTACAAGGATAGTTTCTGTTTTTCTATTATTTCTCCGTCTCTTTGTATTAAATTACTGTTATCTTCTGGTTGACACCACAGATGGTCTCTGACTTATAATGGACTGACTACTGATTTCTTTTTAACTTGACGATGGTACAAAAGCAATACACATTCAGTAGAAGCTGTACTTAGATTTTTGAATTTTGATCTTTTCCAGATTAGCGACATGTGATACTCTCTCGTGATGCTGGGCAGTGGCAACGAGATGATTTCACCCAACTGTAGGCTAATGTAAGTGTTCGTAGCACACTTAAGGTACGTTAGGCTAAGCTATGATGTTTGTTAGGTTAGGTGTATTAAATGCATTTTCAACTTACAATCTTTTCAACTTATGATGGGTTTACTGGGACGTAACCCCAGTGAAAGTCGAAGAGCACATGTAGTTATTTTTGGTTTTGCTTTTATCTACCATATGAAGGAGGAGGTCCTGTTTGTCCCAAGTTCTCCTTCAAACTATTCCAGCACTTATTTGAATGCCTTCTATGAAAATAAGCACTATGCTGGGTGCCCAGAGAACTTTAAAAAAAGATACAGTAATCTGGATAAAGATAAAAATCTGTACACAAACTCAGAAATATAAGGACAAGAACAAAAAGTAGGCAGGGTCCTAAATAGATCTGTAAGTGCGATAAGCTGTTCTTCTGCCACTTCTCTCCCCCATATCACATTCTTTTCTGCCTTTTTTCCATCGACTCATATTATTTGCAATTACTAGCTAACACTCTCCAGACATCCTTCTCATCTAGTCCTTCCATGGCCTCTGTCCATATTAAATTTTGGGGGGGGGGGCGGGGGGGGGCAGTTAGGGGTTGGCCTGCTCAACTGCCTAGGTTGCCTGGAGGTGAACTGTAACCTCTCACCTTCCTCTTCCCCTCATGGGTGGTTGTACATGCTTTCTCCCACAATGTACAAACAGAAGATGCCACACAACTGAAAGGTATTTTCCCCTTGTATCTGAACCAGAGATCCCCAAACTGATGTCCTACATTTTTCAACTTTTGCTACAAGCAGAACGAATTTTCTATACCTTGCCCATAAACAATGCTGATTAATATCTGCTTACATTTACCAGTAATAGGTAAAACTTGGAGAAGTTTGAGTTGTTGTAATAGATTTCTATTAAACTACCATTTTCCAAACATGTTCCACAGAACTCCAATTTTGTGGGTTTAATAGGTGGGTGTGGGGTGAACAAGGATTCTTTGGTCAAACATGCATGGGAAACATTGTGTTTTACAAAGTTAAATGAGTTTTTTTAGGATTGCTGATGGAGCCTCTAACATGCTAAAGTAAATCTCTTACAGGAGAGTATTAAGGAAATATCATGAGAAGCATTTATTACATAACAACCTTTAACTCCATATCCAGGTGTGTCACAATCTAAAATCTGCTTTTAAGAAAAAAATCAAAAGAATTATAAAGGTGCTATATCCATCAAGCACAATGGTACTGTTTAGGTGATATCTATCTTGTAAACTATAGTCCATACCTACTTCATATTTATAATTTATACAGGAATTTAGAATTTATCAATTTACACAGAAACCTATCTATCTCTATCTATCCATCTGGGCTGGTTTTAGAACTCTACAAAAATTTCTGAGAACTGACAAATGATCAGAAACAGGAAATTATGGTATAAAAATTAAGTAGGTCAGTAGAAGGAAAAAATGTGCATTTTATAAAATCAATAAGGATCCTCCAATTATTTTTCTGGTAACAGTGATCTCAAATACTGCCAACTTTAAAATACCAGGATCCTACGGCTATGATCTCACAACAATCACTGTTTCTATCATCCATCTATTCTTTTAGTAAGTTTTTCTCTCTCCTCCTTTTCTTTCTCCTATCTGCATCTCTTCTCCCTTCCTTCCTCCCCCTCCTTTCTTCCTTCCTAATAAATAACCCAGTATTCCTCACATTTAAAAAATTCTAGAACAGGGGTCACAAACTACGGGCAAGGGACAAATATGGCTTGCTGCTCGTTTTGTGTGGCAGATGACCAAGATGGTTTTTTACATTTTTAAAGAGTTATAAAATAAGACAAGAATATGTGCGCTAGAGTCTTATGTGGCTTGCAAAGTCTAAAATATTTACTACCTAGACTTTTACAAAAATATTTGCTGGCTCTGCTCTAGGATGATATTTATCACAGCTTACTCAGTAATTCAGATAATTCACAGCAATGACAAGTGCACAGTAAATAATTAAATTTTACAGTGGCAATTAGAACTCCATCATACATACCACTTAGTTCCAATTATGTTGTTTTTTAGAATACTAGCATAGAACTCAGCACATTATAGAAGTTCAAATATCAAGCTCTGCCTGCCTGAACAATAGTACTTCAGTTATGAAGCTAGTCTAAAGTGGTGGTATAGCCTAGATACAAGAAACCCTTCTCTCAAGGGAATTCAGATCAACTGATAAGTGAATTAAGCTCTAACCATTTCTCGTATTACACATCCCCCATATTCACTTAGCTAAAAGAAATAAAATAATTCTCCTTGATTTCTCTGAAGTCTATCCCAGGTGAGATATATATCTCAAAATCTTTAATGTGTTTTCTAATTACATTTTCTTACAGAGTTCTCTCCAAGTATTCAAAATAAAACAAACTCAGTAACTTACTCCAGAGCAGGTCGCAGAACTCTGACTTTTAATGCTTCTAATATTCGATTTAACTCCACAAATGGTTCTTTCTGACTGGGGTCTACAGAAAGACCAGATTCCTGTGAAAACAAAAAGAACTGTTATTAGCACTAATCAGGATAAAGAGATATAGTAAAAGCATATTCTAAATTTAATATGGGACAAACCTTAAAGATATTTCTTTTTAACATGTATTTCTATGGCAGAGACTGATGGTTGAGCCCTAGTATCATTCTTTCTCCTTTTCCAAAGTAGTGAATTTAAGCTGGGCATATAGCCATATGGAATAAAGCTGGGAATGACTACAAGATGTAAGTTCTGGCCAATGAAACATAAGCATGAACTCTTTGCCCCTTCCTGGAATACCAAAAAGTATTATAGAGCTTTCACTGGTATCCTGGACCATGGGGACAGGGGACGCCCTAGCAATAGGAGAGCTACAAAGAACCTAGGTCCCGAAGAGACTCATGGGCACAGCTACATTATATATGCTGTTGATGGCTTACTACCTCCTATTTCTGAGCAAGAAAAAGAAACTTCATTTTTGTTTAAGCCATTAGTATTTGGGGTCTTTGTTATTTGTAAATGAACTTAGTACTAAATAACATAATTTAGAAACTTTATATGGACACATACACAATTCCCATAAGGTACAGAGAAATACCCAAGTTATAGTTTATCTGTTAAAATAGAAAAGGCTTATTGACCAACCTAATGTTACAACTATTTAGAGGTGGCCAAATGTAAACTAAAGCTTTAATTGAAGTGGTGCAATTTTGTATAACTTAGCATCAGTAGTTCAATAAATTTGGGTTGCCATGCAAAAAAAAAAAAAAAAGGCTTAATGCTTTTGTTTACAGACTAGCTTTAAATTATTTAATTCTTATAGTCCTTAAAAAATAGCACATGGTAGCCAAGGATAGAATTTGAATACACATAAATCTGGTACTGAATCCTACCCAGTTCCTTTACTTAGAACCCGTACAGCCTTGGGAAATTTACTGTTCCAGACCTCAGATTCCGGGAGAAATAATTTCCATCTCCCAGGATTGCAGTGAGAATTAAAGGCAGGGCTTGACTTGTGGTGAAGACTCATATGTGTGGCAGCTGCTACCATGATGATTAAGTGGTATTTGGTAACTGTTCTGAAATCCTTACACTTATGTCTAATAGAAAGAAAAAACAAGTAATACTCATCTGAAATAAATTTTAGCTTGAAATTCATTTGATAAGCAAAATTATACCAGCTGGACCAGAAGAGACGAGGAACCATAAATCTCTGTCCTTTTCTATACTAACCTTCCCTATCAAAAGAGGAAATGAAGAAAGTAGTATCACTTCAGACCCCTTCACTGAGGAGCTGGGACCAACGTTTTGGGGCAGGAATAAGGAAATACTCCAATTAAGAAGTTCTAGGGTTATAATTTTCACCAGTTAAAAAAAGATTTCCTAGTAAAATTAGGTCAGCCCTGATAATTAAAATATTAAAAATCTAACTATAGCTAGAAGACTCTGGAGCTCGAAGGCTGTTCTTTTTCATCTTCTTGCAGTTTGCACACTATTACCTGGCAGAGCTCCTCAGCTACATCCAGCATTCCTTGTCGAAAGAAGTGCTCCACCATCACCTCATTGAGAAGCCGTTGGCTGTCTGCCTGCCAGCAGCCATCGATTCCCACACTGCTAATGTCAGAGTCAAAATTCTGGGGGTGGGAAGGAAGGATAAATAAATAAATAAATAAATAAATAAATAACTCATGAATTGATTAGGATGCATCACTGTATATCATTTTCAACCCATCTAAAAGAAAGAATGGCCTTCATTTCACTCTGAGATACCCCTAAACAAATACCCAATTCAAATTCATCTGTAGCCTATGACAGGGAGTAGTTTTTCCACCTGCTCCTTTTAAAACTTGTCACCCTCTTTGATTATTGTTGTAAGAGTAAACAGGTGATATTTTAGAGAGCATCCTGCAAAAATATATAAATTTAATAATGATTTATGTGAATAAATTGATTTTTTGACACTATACAACAGCAATTATTTTCAGAGTTGTACTTGTAAAAGCATTTTCAACACAACATTGTCTAATAGGAAAAAAAGCAAAAATCCATATGCTTAACATAGAATCAGTTAAATAATCCATGACACATCCCAACAACTGCAGTGCCAAGGTGGGGGCGGGGGGTGGATCCACGGTAGGAGCATGGCCAGCTGGTTAAGAGAGCAGGCTCTGGGGCCAATCTACCTGGGTTTGAATCCTGGCTCTATCTCCTACTAGCTGTGTGATCTTGACCAAATTATAAGGCCTTTGAGCCTCAGCTTCCTTACCTTAAGTAGAAAAAATCAACACTACCTCCCCATTTGGGCTGAATTGCATCCTCTCAAAATTCCTATGTTAATGAAACCCTAAATCCCAGTATAGATCATAAGTTAAAATGAGATTTTAGGGTCGATGCTAATCCATTAAGACTGGTATCCTTGTAAAAAGAGGAAATCAGGACACAGACAGGTACAGAGGGAAGACCATGTGCAATGGACTGAATATCTGCACCCTGCCCCCTAAATTCCCACACTGGAGGCCTAACTGCATGACTATTTGTCTGTGAGGAGGTGATAAAGGTTAAATGAAGTCGTAAGGGTAGGGACCTACTCTTAGAAGATAAGGAAGAAACACCAGAGTCAATGTTTATGTTCTCTCTCTCTCTCCACCTCCCTCCCTTCCTCCTTCCCTCCCTGCCTCCTTCTCCCCACCCCTCCCCATCATATGATACAGCGAGAAGGCAGTCATCAGCATGTCAGAAAGGAGGTTGCCCATCCTCAATAGGACATGAATTGGCTAGGACCTTGATCTTGGACTTCCCGGTCTCCAGAATTGTGAGGAAATAAATTTTTGTTGTTTAAACTACCCAGTCTGTGGTATTGTGTAATGGGAACACAAGCTGACTAAGAGCCACGTGAAGATGCAGCAAGAAGATGGCTATCGATAAGCCAAGGAGAGAGGCCTCAGAAAAGCAACCCTGCTAACACTCTGATCCTGAACTTCCACTCTCCAGAATTGTGGGGAAATAAACATGTTTATGCCACCTAGTTTGTATAGCAGCCCCAGCAAGTTAAAACACTCCCTTCCTGGTTAAATAAAATGGTAGTTGCTACTATTCTAGTATTACCATTCACAATTAAAAGGTGAGGCTCATTACTGTGTATCTATTAACATGGAAAAATGTCCCTAATACCTTAGGCAAAAAAAAATTAAAAACTTCTACAAAGTTATGACCCCATTTAAAATTTTTTTTTTTTTTTGTAATTGATTTCAGAGAGGAAGGGAGAGGGAGAGACAGAAACAACAGTGATGAGAGAATCGCTGCCTCCTGCACACCCCCTACTGAGGACAGAGCCCACTACCTGGGCATGTGCCCTAACCAGGAATTGAACTGTGATCTTTTGGTTCATAGGTTGATGCTCAGCCACTGAACCACACTAGCTGGGCAACCCCATTGTTTTAAAAAAAAGAATACCTGCCCTGGCCAGTGTTCTTAGTGGTTAGTGCATCGGCCCATGAACTGAAGGGCTGCAGGTCCAATCTCGGGTTGCAGGTTTAATCCCGGCCTTGGTCAGCGCACGCAGAGGAGGCAATGATGGATGTGTCTCTTTCACCTCTCTCTTTCTTTCCCCCTTCCTCCCTCTCTTCCACTCTCTCTAAAAGTCAATGGAAAAAATATCCTCAGGTGAGAATTAATAAAAAAATAAAATAAAGAATACTGTACCTTCAAATATTTAGGGGGAAAAAATCTAAAAACACGTGCACAAAAGTATTAGTAGATTGCCAATGAAAACTACCATGCTCCACACAAAGAACCAAATTCTTTTCATAATTAACAAATTAACCCAGTTCTGTGTAAAATTAAGTAAACACACTCCACCTTGTCTTTACCACTGAATGCAGTTATAAAATCAGGACACAATAAATGGAGCAGCTATTTGGGGACACTGAAAAGTGAGGAGGAGTAAGTAGACTGAGGAACAAGGTCACAGTGGTGATGAGTTTACTAGTTTTCTCTCCCCAGTATCTCTCAGCCTGGATGCAATGCAGCCAAAACCCAGAAATGGGCACCTGGAATGAGAAGCCCTTTAGTTCTGCCATAAGGAATAGGAATGGGCTTTCCTACCATTCAGCGAATAGGGGGAATCACATGCTTTTTTCCCCCTCCCTCCATTTTCTTTCACCTCTAGCTCAAGGCAGTCTGCAGGTATATTAGTTTTCTATTGCAACTTAAAACCACACTTTATTTTATTTTTTAAAAATGTTTTTATTGATTTTTAGGTAGAGAGGAAGGGAGAGAGGGAGAGAGATAGAAATATCAATGAGACACATCAATCAGCTGCCTCTTGCACACCCACTACTGAGGACTGAACCCGCAACCCGGGCATGTGCCCTGACCGGGAATAATGACACTCAGTCCACTGAGCCACACCAGCCAGGGAACAACACAATTTTATTATCTCACAGCTCTATAGGTCAGAAGTGCTTTATTCAAATGACTAAAGGAAAGGGGATCTGAAGATGACAATGTATTATAAACTCAGGAATCTGCCAATAACTCTCTAAATGTCTAAGTGCACCCTTGAGCAAGAATCATTGAGACTAATTACAAGAGTCCTCACAGATCTATCAGCCTCATTCAATACAAATACAACGTTGAGATTTATACTTGTTCATTTAATGATTATTCTCCAATCCCATCAACTCCCAACCAATTTATCAGGTGTCTGTTCTGCAGGAAAGAAAGAAAACAACTTTGCCCTGGCCGGGTGGCTCAGTTAGTTGGAGCATCACCCTGTACACCAAAAGGTTTTGAGTTCAATCTCTGGTCATGGCGCTTATGGGAAGCAATTGATCAATGTTTTATTTGGCAGTATGAATTATAAGTCAGAATTTAATAACTACCACCAGATCAAACTGCTCAGATCAAGCAGAAGAATTCCTTCAAATCTTTCCTTTACATATCACAAGGATATTCTGATCATCTAGGAAACTCTAAAATATAAGAGTCTAACATTTCAACAAATTGAAACAGTTTTACGATGATGTTTTAAAAAATATTTATTGTTGAGAGTATTACAGAAATCCCCACAATCATGCTTTTCATGTACCTTTATTTCCAATGGTAACTTTCTGAACCACTGTCACTACTATACAGGTAAGAAAAATCGTACAGGATATCCCTACTACATTCAAATAATGTAACTTACCTCCTAGTCTTGGGAAACACAACTAAAATGTAAATAAGCAATGCATTTGATGAAAATTACTGAACTTCCATCATTCTGATATTCTAGTTAAAACCACTGAGGTAGAAAAGTAAATTTTTTTCATAAATTACTTTCTGTTCACCTATAGTAAAATTTAAAGTTAAAATTATAAAAAGAAGGTTGAAGAAATGCAATACAGTGTCAGAACTCCTTTTGTTATAACTGCACGTTCTTACTATTGCATCAGAGCTAGGATCAGTTCCAGGTTCTGTTGCTAGGCGACCAAACTGGTTTGCAAGGCTGCCCAGAAAATAAGCAGCACTGCAAACCAGCCAAGAAGTGGCTAATGAAGAGAAATATCTATTATTAGCACTTCTGTTTTACTATAATTTTTCCTTTTAAGAAAAGAAAACTTGGAAAGATGTTCTTAAATGTGAAGTCAAGATTCAAAGAAGAATCAAAAGCAAAACACACATTCAAGGGTGTCTGCCTGGAGATGTTATGGCTTGGAAAGAGAAACACTAGTTCATAAGTCATTTCATGTGCTTCTACCATCAGTCACTTCTTTTTTAATCCTCACCAAGGATGTATTTTTATTGATTTTTTTTTTTTTTTTAGAGAGAGAAAGGAAGGAGGGGGTGAGAGGAAGGGAGAGAGGGAAGGAGAGAGAGAGAGAGAGAGAGAGAGACAAGAGAGAGAGAGAGAGAGATCCATAGGAGAGAAACATCCATCAGTTGCCTCCTGTACACATCCCGACCCACAACCTTTCAGTGCACAAGACTATGCTCCAACCAACTAGCCACCCAGCAAGGGCAAGTCATTCACATTTTTGATGAATTAAAAGTTTTAAAATCTGGAAGCTGAAGCAGAGGAGGGGTAAATTTATGAAACTGCCTAAACAGACCATCCTGTTGCTTTAGCTATAACATGAGCAGGCTTACAAACTGGGTAGACTTTAATGACTGGCTTTTTTGTTCACTATCCCAAACTAATCCATTTCTGAAATACACTGTATGAAATTATAATCATTGAGCACAATGATAACAGTATAGGACAAAATCTAGTATTTAGGGGTTTTTTTTGTTTGTTTTTGTGGTTTTTAAAAAAATATATTTTTATTTATTTCAGAGAGGAAGGGAAAGAGATAGAAACATCAATGATGAGAGAGAATCATTGATCGGCCTCCTGCACACCACACACTGGGGATCGAGCCTGCAACCTGGGCATGTGTCCTGACCAGGAATTGAACCGCGATCTCCGGGTTCATAGGTCGACCGGCCAGGCCAGTATTTGCTTTAATCATAAGTGCCAATTCTTTAATACTGTAATTTTTTTTTAAACTGCCCCATCTACTTTTGAAGAAAACTTGTTGGGCTACTGTTGCACCTACCAGGAATCAATTTCCCTTCTAGGCATCCAGTTATTCTGGTTTAGGAGTGAGAGGTA